TAGGAGCTTGGCCAGGTTGAAGCTCCCCTGGGGGAGGCCAGGACTAGAGGGATTCTGGTGGAGACAGCATCTCCAGTCTCTCGTCTATAAAGTGTCCTTCTGAGGTGGGTGGGTTCAGGGTCTCCACCAGACCCAGAGGAGCAGTATCAGGGAGATGACGCTCACCCACAGGCCGGAAGAAAACTCCAGCCTCTGCCCAGATATGGGCCTCAGCCCTGCTGGAGGCAGCCAGGCTGGTATCCTTCTTAGCAAGTTCTAGGGTTAGTGGGACTGGGCTCTGCACGAGGTAGCTGCCTGCTCTGGGCCAGATGATTGGCAGGAGCTGGAGAGAAGAGAGCACATGAGACAGGAGGTGTGAGAGTAGGGAGTAAGGCTGGCTCCTGGTGGAGAGAGGCAAAGGGGATGGCTTGGGGTTTTCCAAACCATAGACAAGCTAGGGTCAGCATCCTTGCCTTCTGGACTGTTTCCAGGAAGAGGCCCAGGGTCGGGGAAACCCTGACTGGGAATCTAGAGCTGGAAAGAACTTTCAAGTTCATTGTCTCTGCTGGCTGTGGCCCCTGCGCCTCCCAGATTGCCTCCTGCTCTTCAGCCCCCTTGAGCAGCAGAGGCAGAGGCAGTGGGGACATCAAATAAACACTTGGGGTTTAAACTTCATCGGTGACCTGCCCTGGAGCACTGGGGCATCAGTGGCTGTGTGAGAGCCTCTTTCTCCTGCTCCTCCTCCCTCAGTCACCTCCAACCTTGGCCCTGAGGCCTGTGCAGGTGAGGCCCCAGGGACTGATAAAAAGAATGTCCTCAGCAGCCACCAACCTGAGGAGCAAATACTGACCTGGTCATGTGAGCAAGGGGACCTGTTAAAAGTATAATAGCTAAATTGCTCTGGCTGCTGTCGGTCGTCTCTGCAGGTGGGTGGTGACCTGGTGGACAGGCAGGGGACAGCCTAGTAGCAGTTCGCTTGGGGAAGGCCTGGCCGTAAAGCCACAGACATCCCCAACTGCTCAGTCTGGGATTCTTTCCTTCCCGTGTGACAGCAGGCCCCGCTCAGCGGAGGCAACTCTCATGGCTGGGAAGCCCACATGGATGTGGAGAACAGGCTCAGAAGTCAGCGCCAGACAGCCTGCAGTTTGAATCCCGACTCTGCCCCTGGTATGCCTCGACTTTAAACCACTGTTTTGTTTTGTTTTGTTTTTTCCTTTTATGAGCCTGCTTCCTCATTAATAAAACAAGGATGGAGGGGCCCTATGCCACAGAACAGTTAAGAAAAACAATGACTGCAGAAACCCAGAGAGGGCCAGAGCTTGCCTGGAACGGCATTACAAGACAGTAAGCAAGATGCTGGGTCATGCCAGACCTCTTTGTATACCATCTGGCCTCTCTGTCTCTCTTGGGTCTGAACTCCTGTCTGGGGCCTGGTCTGTGTCCCCTGCTATGTGGCAGAGCACAGCAAAGATGTTTGGGGCTGGGCTGGGCCCCACACAGTGGCTCCTCTGGCCTGAGCCACCTCTCCACAGGGTCTTATCTGTTCATTCTCTCCTTTCCCACAAACTAATCTTTCTTTCGCTTGGAAAGTTCCTGTTTCCTCCCCGCCGTCTTGTCTCTCCCCAGGCCTGTCTCCGGAGACTCCAGCCAGCCTCCCACACAGGTCTAAGCTGCTGAGCACAGGAGCTCAGAGTCTAGGCTGGCCTCCCCTGGCTCAGGATGGTACAGATGGGAAACCTGCTGCAGACAGAATTCTGAAGCCTGGTCCTCTAGGCCGCCCAGTGCTCCATGAAAGGTTTTGCTCTGAAACTCCCGGTACAAAGACTCTGACTCACATCTCTGAACACCGTGAATTCCTGGGCTCCTGGAGCTCCCACCCAGAGAAGCTGTGTCCTGCTGATAGATCCAGCAGGATTCAACCTGAAGCCTGGGTGAGGAGCCCTCCAGGCTCCTGGGACCCCCTTCCTCTCAGTTGCCCACCCCTAACCAGCCAGGAGGTTCAGAGCTTCATCACAGGTCTAGGGACTAGTCAGTAGCAGACACACAGGCCCCCCCAAGGCAGGAGCCAGCGTGCCCTCCTGCTCTGAGCTGCCGAGTCTCCCTCCCATTCCGGAAACAGCAGTAGGACCGTGCCTGAGCTGAGTCACCACTCTGGCCAGGACTGGAGGCAAGTCACCTGTCCTTTTGGGAAGCCCGGTTTCCACCTGTCAGAAGGTGACAACACTCATCTATGCGAGGCTGCTGTGAAGATAACCTGGGTTAAGGTGGGTTGGGACAGTGCAGGGGCAGGGTAGACAGTCTTGCTTATAATAATACAGCTACTTTTCACCACTGTGGCCTCTTTCCCCATTTTCTTGTCTAGGTAGGTTCAAAAGACAGCCGCAAATTCATCACTTCTGAGGAATGTTTCGTACTCAGCTCCCAAACCCCATTGGGTTCATGGGCTGGTCTCAGCCTGGGAAGACTCAGAGAACTTAAGATGGGGGTGGGGGGGTATATGTGGACATGACACAGGCTTAGACACACTTAGCTTAGCAGGACATTAGAGGGGCTTCACAGAGACTGTGGGAACCCAGGAGAGGTCCATGGGGGCTGAAGGTGGTCAGGGAAGGCTCTCTGGAGAAGGGAGCTATGGACCTGGGCTTAGAGTAGAGCTTTGGCTGACTTGGGGGGAGGGAGGAGCAGTGCCAATTGTTGCTTGAAAGGTTCAAGGGCAGAGAGGAGCCAGAGGAGGGAGGCCTGCAAAGGAGCACTTTAGAATGACAATCCAAGAGTGACAATTCCAGGCCTCTTGGAGAATCCCGGGCAAATGCCCAAGCTAGGCATCTGAGCAGGCAGCTCCACAGATGGCACTAAGGGCTGGTCAGTCATGAGGGACTGTGGTGGGCTTGGGGGTGAGAACACAAGTGCTGGGCCAAAGGACTGAGAGCTAGTTCTGCAGGGCCTGTGGCCTAGGCGGGGACACACTTCAGAGACAGCCAAGAAAGAATATAGACACTGGACACCCTGGAAGGGCCCCCCTCTCCCCCCAGCCCCTTTCAGCAGTGGCCATAGGCCCCCTCCCATCTGGGGCTTCCTCATCTGGAAAACAGACTCAATGGAGTCCCGAAGGCTTATCCTGAGGTTCTTTCCAGCTTGTGGTTCTGTGACTCTGTCACCCCCACACCACGAGCTTGAAGGCAGAGCTTGGAGGACAGCCACAGAATCCTGCTATCTACCGCCCTGTGACCTGCCCAGCTTCTGGCGAATCATCCATTCCTTCCTCCCTGCCCTCACCCCTCAGGAGTCCCTGTTTTTCTCCATGAAGCCCTGCCCAAGCTCTGGGGCCTTGCTCTGCAGGCCTTCAGTAGGGAAAGTCTCGTTTCTAACCGGCTGGAGGGAGCCCATCCTTCAGCAGCTAAGGATGAGAGCCACAAGCGGAAACAGTTTGCAACATTCTTTTGCGCTGGTTGGTTTGGGGGCGGGACACCCCGCTACAAACAGTGCGAGACACAGGTGTTTAACAATTGCTTCTGTCTTGGGGTGGGGGCTTGCACCGGCCAGGCCCACTCTTCATGTTTCCCGTTTCCAGGAAATAATCTTACTTTCTATTTGCCTGCTGGTTGCTGTTGAGTTGGACACGTTCAGGAAAGCTTGCTGGCCGGATGCTGCTTAGATACAAGGCTGTTGTGGAGGACACCAATGATGGCACCTCTCAGGCTGCCATCAACCATGCTCTGCTGGCTGGAATTGAGCACAATCCCCGAGAAGTGACAACCGCCGTGGGCAAGTGAAAACCGGCAAGACGTCAGAGTGACGGTTTATAACTACGGCCACCCCATGCCCACAGGTGCTCTGTGGACATCCCCTTGGGTAAAACAACTGTTGTCAACAAGGATGTCTTAGAGACCCAGCTCTGAAATCAAGGCCAGGCAGGGCGCCAAGGTTAATTTTGAAAAGCCACACAAGATGGGCAAGAACAAGTGTTTCTTCTAGAAGCTTAGGTTTCAGGCATAGTCTGTTTTCGTTGTTAAAAAAAAAAAAAAAAAAAAAAAAAAAAATTTTTTTTTTTTTTTAAAGAAAGTTAAAGCTCAGAAACGGATGGCCATGTTCCCCCAGCTCTTGCCTCCTCCCTGACGCGCCCTACCTCCTCCACCCCCTTTACTTTCTACCTCCAGCCTATAGGCATGCATCACAGACAGGCTTAGGTCCTCTTGGCTTTGCTAGCCTACCTCCTTAGCTGTAATGTCAAGTGACTACAGCCTGGCCTCCCCACAAGGGGGTCCAACTGGCTCCTCAGTCTACACCCCTGCCCAATTCAGATCCCCACCTTCTCCCCCCGCTTGCAGCTGGCCGTCTATCCTTCCCCACATGCACCAAACCCAAACAGCTCTTCCTGGACCTCCTGGACCCCCACCCAAAATGAAAAAGAGAAGGGGTCCTGTTGGTCCCTGTGCCTTAGCACATCGTCTGCCACAAGCCTGGTCCAGGCATGAGCTGTGACCTTGGGTCTTTCCCAGCTTCAAGCCTTAGTCACTGCCAGCCCATAGTAGGCCAGTCCCACCGCCTAGGGGCTCACTGAAAACCCACCGGGGCTACCCCCCTGAGGTCGCAGCCTCTTTGGGCAGTTTTTCTTGCAGCCAGCTTAATGGGGCTGAAAGCATGGCCAATGGCTGGGCTATGGTAGTAAAAATGTCCCTGAGGAATAAAGATATTGCCAACTGGGTTTATGTTTCAAGACGTCTGTCCTCACCCTTGACCAACAGATCACATACAGGGAAACAGGCCAAGACCAGGTCGGGGAACGGGGTGGGGCTGGGACATCAATGGGAGGCCGCCTTGCCTGGAAACTGGAGAATCCTCCTGCCAGCCCAGGATCTGCTGGGTTCACTTGAGGAGGCCAGAGATTTTCGGGCAGGCTGGGGCTTGCTCAGCATTTACTTCACATGCTTGTTTAAAATATAATCACTATATATTTTTACATATAATATATATATATATATATATAGAAGAATTGAAGTGAGCCACCCCAAAGAAAAAGCTGTATTTTATAAATATTTCTGTAGCTCCCACATCCCAGAGGAGGGCGGGGGAAGAAGAGTAGAAATTTACAACCGAAGTTAGTGGTTCCATGTGGTGGGCACAGGGTCCCAAAGAACATTCCAGAAGGCTGGTCTTTCTGGCCTTGAAAGGTCAAATACACAGTCTTATCCGTCCCTGCCCTGGCTTCTTGGAGCAGCCTGGAAGGCAGCATGCGGGCACTCGGGCCCCAGGCTGCCAGGTTATTTTTAATCCTATCAGTTTCCTTTGATGCCCCGGCCCTCCCAGGGCGACCAGGCCTCCTGTTCCTGCCGGCTTCCAAGAGGAGTCACAGCACAAGCCACCTCCTGCGCCTGGCATCTGAGATCTGCAGGGACGTTCACCAGGCCCTTCCGTGGGTCCTCAGAGGAGCAGCCCCCTTGCACGGGGGTGGGGCGCGGGGCCTCACTTGCACACGTAGCGCTCCACCGTGCGCTCACACCTGCGGCAGGTGACGTAGCAGCACCAGTGGTACTTGCAGTGACACCGCTCCACCACCCGGTCCGTGTAGGGATTGTAGCCGCGCCCACAGCACATGAGGTCGCAGCTGTCACTGCCGTTGGAGGTCTTGTTGCACTGCCTGGGGGTGGGAACAGGAGGTCAGTGAATGCCCAGCACCTCCAGCGCCCGCCTCTCCCCGCCAAGCAGCCTGCAGCCCTCGCCATTGTGGCTGGCCCAGCCCTCCAAGGAGGGAGAGCAAGCTTTGAGAAAACTGAGGCTTTCTTTTCCCCTAACTTCTCTGGGTTTCCAGCGAGCTGTCATGGACTGTTGGGGTTATTTTATTTCCTGAGTTGTCTGGTTTCCATCTTTTTTTCTGTTTCTAAATCTCAAAGAACCCTCACATCAGTGCCTATTAATTCTGACTTTATATTTAATCCTTTTTTTAAAGTGTGTGTTAGGATATGTGTGTTACCTGTCCCTGTGCACAAATGTGTACATGCATTTATTCGGAGGCAGAGGTCCACAGTAAATGTCTTCCTTTATCTCTCCCACCCAACCCACCTATCTGATTGAGAAAGAGTCTCCCATTGAGCTCAGAGCTTGGGGATCCACTTGGCAAGACTGGCCAGTGCGTTTTGGGGAACCCCACATCACTGTTAGAGTTGCACATTGGGGATGTGAACTCAGACCCTCACGCTTACAGGGCAGGTGTGTCACCAACTGAGCCGTGTCCCCAGCCCTCTGCCTTCACAGTTAACCTTTAATTATGCAGCAAGGGAGGCGAGGGTCATTTTTACAGTTAAAAATCCCAGGATACATTCTGGAACACTAAAAACTTCCCAGGAGGCAAGATGGGCCTGAACTCTTTGCTGAGTGTTGGCCCACAGGTGTCCAAGGGAGACACCTGGCTCATGGCTCGTCTCCCCAGAGGCATTCCTGTGCCCTTCTGCTTGAGAAGCAGATGCAGGCCAGGGCAGCAGGGCAGCAGATAGTTGCTTTCACTGGAATCAGTGGCGAGCAGAAGTTCTCTTTCTCAACACTGACACCAAGTACACTGCTCAGCACTCTCCCCACCCCCAAGCTATGGCAGGAGGCAAGGAGCTAAAGAGGTCTCTGACAGGCAATGCCTCCCTGCTGCCATATGTCTGCCTAGGAGAGAGGAAGATGTTCCGGTGGACTGTCCTCCAGCAGGGCCAGGGCTGAAGAGGGACTGTGTCTGTGCTGTACAGCTGGGGGCAGAGCAGCATGGGGGCAGGAGGGGAAAGGCAATCCTCTGCTCATTCTGCTAGGGCCCTGTGCCCAGCCCCTCTGTGTAATAGAATCCCCCCTCCTCGGCAGCTCACACTCACCCTGCTGCTTCCAACCAGACTCACGTTCCTTCCTGTCTCCTTTGCCTGACCCATTCCATCTCCACTCTGCCGACCCCCTCAATCTGGCCTCCAGATGGGAGCCTGGGCCTCTTCCTCACAGAGCCCCGGCCTGTGGAGATGGAGCCCCAAACCAGCCCTCCCTTCTCGCAGGCAGGACCGTGGGCTGCGGAGGAAGCAGATGCTGGCTGGGCACCAACTATGTGCCAGACACGTTCCCAGACACCCGCTCTCTGCTACGTATTTCCCTAACCTTGTGCACACCAGCTTTGCGGAATGCTATTAGAGGCTCCTTAATAAAAGAGTGCCCCAACCACGCACCTCTGGGAAGCCCTGTTTAATCAAATCCTTAGCCCAGGCTCCCTTAGGCCGTGAGGATGATCAGAGAGCTTCCCAGGTACATCTGACCTTTCTTCCCAGGGTTTTCATGAACCATCTTTGGGAATGCAGCCCCACCTGGCACACAGGAGGTCTGCAGCAAACCATTGTCATGGGCTCCTTCCTTGTCTATCCTGTCTCCCTATCCAGAGCCAGGGCTGGGCCAGCTGTGGGGACCCCAGGCCCAACTCAGGTAGTTCCCAAGTGGACATGGAAGGATATAAAGCCTGACAGAGGGCTGGCATGTCCCAGGGGACAGAGGAGTATCCTTTCTACAGAAGCTCATTTGCTCTGTTTTAGGTACCTCCTGGGCTGCCTTAGATTGGATGCTGCCTCCACTTCTTGTGCCTCTCAGTTCCTCCTTTGTCCAATAAACAGGGTGGGCACTTATCCTTCACCTGCTCATGCAACATTGCCTGAGCCCCCATTCCGTGTTAGGCAGCCCTTCCTCATCTCCCGTCTTCCTGAACTGCCACTGTCACCTCCTGACCTGGGAGGAGGTGGAGCCATCAGCCTCTATCCCTGAAGTGCCCTCGGCCTCCCTGGAACTTCTGCCCTCCACTGGGCAAGGACTCCACTCTCCAATGCCAGCTGAGTCACCACTGTGGCTGGCCCAGCCCCAAGTGCAGCATTGGGGTGGGTGTCAAGCCACTTACCTGTCTTGGGTCCCGTGAGATCCCACCTTCTCATTCTTCATACAGAAATCAGGGGAGCTCTGCAGATACACTAGTTCCGAGTCCTTCACAGGCCGGATATCCAGGTCCTTGGGCACCAAGTGCTTGCGGGTGCCCATAGGACGATGTACCACTTTCGTGGCCGACAGGTAGCGGGTCTTGAGGTCAGCGGCCACGTCTCGGAGCTCTTGCAGCCCCTTCCAACAGGTGCGGATGGAGCAGGAGCCAGATACTCCATGGCACTTACACTTCGTTTCCAGGGAGGCACGCAGAGCCTGCGGACAGGCAGGGTGTCAGGTGGGTGGCCAGATCCTCTCCCTGGCCTGTCAGGGCCCTGGTCCCCCTACTCCATGGCTGGGTGATCTTGGAGAGTCATGTCCCACTGGAGCCTCAAGAGATGGAGCATTTGGCTGTAAAGCTAGGAGGGGTTGGGGGTTATAGTTCCATTCCAGAGCAGCTAAGAGGGCTGGGCAGAAAGAGAGTAGCCTCTGTGGGGTGTAACAGATGCCACCTCTCAGATACTCTGGACAGGGCTTAACACAACCAGCACAGCTCATCCAGAAGGCTCACTCTTTCCCCTTTCCTAAACAGGAAGGCTCAAAGAAGCGACACCTACGTTTGCAGTTAGAAAAGCATAGGCCTGGGATTTGAACCTGTGCCTGACAGTGATTCCAAAAGCTATGACTTTCAATTGTCCCATGCCTTCTTGCTCCTACAAAACCAGGACTCACTAGAGGCTTGCCAGAAGAGCAGCAAGATAATAAAAAAAAAAAAAAAAAAGAGCAAGGAAGGCACCTGGGGAAGGATGGGGTAAACAGGATGGAGAAGGGTGAGGGCTCAGGGGCACCTCCTTCTGGACCCACCCACAGGCTGCCAGGTGACCCTCCATTACCACTCAGGGCCTCTGTGCAAAGCTGGCGTGCTATAGCTACGTGCTTGAGTGTTTGTAAGGGTTAAATGGCTGTACTGAAGGCGTATGTGAGTTCTAACAGTTTAAGTCAATATTGGCTCTGAACACGCAGCTTAAATCAGAGCTGTGAGAGGAACTGGAAACCTTTGGGCCAGGCCCTTAGGCAGGACCCAGCCCTGGTCTGAGAAATGAGTTTTCCCCACAGTCTTCCCAGGCCTGCTTCCTGTTGGTGTCTGAGAAACAGAGGTCAGCTCTTCAAATCCTCTTCAGCTCAAAGGACACTACCCTCTCCCTTGTCAGGCAAGGGTCATGGGTCACTTGGACACACACCCCGCCTCACCTATTGGGGAAACTGAGGCCTATGGTTGGCAAGGCATTGCTCCAATCCCCCCATCAGTGAGTTGGCCCGGTGCTGGGCCAAGTGTCAGGGATCCATCTTATCATTGCAACAACAGGATGTGGGGACTGAGGACGCACCCTAGAGTCTGGAACTTGTTAGAAACCTAGGAGGGAGAGGAAGGAGGCACACAGGGCCGAAGCGGCCAAGCCAGGGCTCTGAGCTCAGTTCCTCGAGTCAGGTCAGGGAGGGGTGGACACTCACGGGCAGGTGCTAGGCAGCTGCCTAGTCCTGCCTAGTCACACAGCCCCAGACTACTGGGGACCAGCATTCATCTTTTGTAGGTGGCCCCAAGAACACGCCTGATGGATGTCATGTGCTCTCGCACGGTACTGGAGTTCAAGAGGGTGCACCCTAGGCCGGGGTTGCTGTAAGGCAACAGTGGGGCTGGGTCAAGAGCTCTCCGGGTTCCTACAATGGGGCAAGCCCCAGGGCTGGGAGGCAGCAGCCCTAAATCCCTGGCTAGGCTCTGACATCAATCCACAGTGTGATCTGGCCTGTCTTCCCAGACTGTCCAAGGATGGCCTGGACATTCAAGTGTCCCAACATGAGGGACACCAGGGACAGGTGAAGACCCGTGGGTTCCACAGATCCAGCTTCCTCAGGCCATGCGTTCCTGGCCGAGCCACCCACGCCTAAATCATGTGAGAGATGCTTTCACTGCTGCTGCACAGGACACTCTTCCTGCCTCTTCCCTGTCAGAGGAAAGAGACCTTCTGGGAGTTTTTCTGGAATCCCAGGAGGGAAAAAAACATCAAGTGCCAAGCACCTGTTCACACCACAGGTTGGTGTGAAGGTTGTTTTCATTTCCAAAAACTGAAGAAGGGGCTGCATCATCCAGCAAGTAAGGATGATTCCTACCGAGCCTTACAATCTGAGTTGGATCACTAGAAATCCATGGAAGGAGGAATCCAACTCCCCCAAGTTGTACTCTCATCTAATCCACACACACATGCATGTAAAAGTTTAATTTGGTTCTTTCACTCCCACACTCACCCAGCCTTTTGTGCAAGTGAGAAACAGGGAAGCAGGTAGCAGCTGCGGGGGCGTGCCCCAGGGCAGCGGAGATCAAAGAGGTGCTCTGGTGAAAGCCTGTGGCCCCGCCCCCTCCCTGTTCTGGCGGGAGGCTGAGGAACTTGCAGGAGTGCCCATCCTGTCACACTTTATACTCGGGAAGGAAAGAGGCCGGGGAGAAAGTAGGTCACCATTCAGGAGGTCCAGGGCCAGAGCAAGGACAGAACTCAGAGCTCTGGGCTCCCGGTCCACTGTTCCCTCTGCGAGGAGCACCTGAATCTTGGAGACTCCCTAGAGAAGGAGCAGGATAGCCCAAGCTCTAGAGAAGGGAGAGCAGCAGGGCCCCAGTCCATCCCCTCTCCCACCCCCTCCTGGGACCCACCATGGCCCTTCTCTAGCCAGTGGCCCAAGCACACCCTCTGGGGCGGGCGGGGGTGGTTACCTGTCTCCCCACTTCACTGTTGTGTAGACGCATCAGTTTATTGGCTTGGGATCCTGTTTTTTTCACCTTCATAGGAGCATCGGAAAACTTGGCCCCCATGAGGAGCCCGTAGCTGAGGTTGTCCGCACATCCTCCCCAGCGGTTCCCAGGCCCGGGTGGCTCACCTGGGACAGGGCCGCAGGAGCAGCCGGGCAGGTCGCCAGAGGTGCAGGCCCGGGCGATGGTGTGACTGATGGTGGCAGCCGACAGGGCATACACGAAGGCTGACTCCCGGGTACCTGTGGGAGAGGGGAGGGTCAGCAGGGGCCGTCCAGCAGGAGGTTAGACCTGGGCCTGAGGCCATCCTACTCTACTCATCTTGTTGAGCAACACACAGGGACCCAGCCATCACCAGAGCCGTGCAGGAGACAGCAAGGGCTACCACAGCATTCCCTGACACCCCTGGTCACGTGTCTGTGGTGGAAGGGGAACACCATATAGCACAGCTGTGTGATACAGCAGCAGATCAGGGTACGGACTGATGCCCACAGCCACCAGGAGCTTCCCCGGACCCAGGAAGCAGCATGGCCCTGCTGGCACTCATTCTCAGCCTTGTAGCCTCTGGAGCCAGGGGACAGGGTCTTGCTATGCACCCTGGGCTGCCCAGGGCTCTCTTTCAGCCTCTCAAGTACTGGAATGTAGTCTGGCTGCTACTCACAACCAGGAGACAGTACATTTGCGTTGTCTGAAGCTAGCCAGTATGCAGGGCAAGGACACTTGACCGAGCCCCAGGAAATGCAGAGCCAGCGAGCTCCCACTCGTCCTGGCCCCGCATCTGAATCATGGCCCTGTCTCTTAAGTAGCAGTCACTACTCCCGAAGAGCCTGTTTCCTTAATTGCACAGCCCACCTGGGAAGGCTTGCCTGATGCTCAGACACCTCAGCAAGGGGAGAGCTGCCATCACTGAGCCCCGGCAAGGTGCTTGTGTCTGGCATTAGCCTCTCTGTGTGCACGCAGGTCCCCACATCCCCCTCCCGGAAGTCTGTGTCAAAGCTGTCTGCTGCCTGTGACCTCTTCATGCATCAAAGCAGTCCTGTCAACTAGGTATGCCTAGGTTCACCTGCCTGCCCAGGGGTGGGCTATACAGAAGTCTCACTACATTGATATGGTTTTCAGTGCAGCAGGCAGGAAACCACCTCGGTGCCCTCTCGGGTAATACCTTTCCTTCATCCGTGCATTATAGCACACGTGCGTCCTGAAGTGCTATGCGGGCCAATGTCTGTGCTGATATATTCACTCGGTAATATTTATTCACCCCCCAGTTCGTGCCTGAAACTCGTATCTATGAGTGACTCATCCGCTCAAGCGTCCCCCCAGCCGCGGCTTATCCATCTGTGTAACCATCCATCTCCTCACTCATCCATCCACCCGTGAACCCACGCACCTATCCAAACACACAGAGCTTCCGCCTGGCTGCTCCCTCCACAGCAGCGCGGCGCCCCACGTCCCCTACCTCTCTCCAGGTCAAGCAGGTAGTTGGGGGCGAGCTCGATGGAGGAGCAGTTCCAGCGCATGTCGGCGAAGGCCCTGCGGCAGGCCTTCGTGGCCTCCCGCGCCGCGTGCACGATGGTGCGCATGAGCTCCAGGTTGCTGCGGCAGAGCTGCACCTGCGCAGACACCAGGCCCTCCAGCTGCTTGCAGTGCTGCGTCTGGTTCAGTGCCAGGGCTGCTGGAGTCTTGGACAGTGCCCTGCATGCCCCAAAAACCACCAACGGGAGAAAGACAGGGTGTAAGGGGCGTTTGCCGTTCAGGCCAGCCCTCCCCTCCACCGGACTCCGGGTCACTCTGGCAAGGAGCCAGGAAACCAAGAGGCAGAGTGCCACGTGGCAGAGCAATGGTTTGCCTGCGAGCTGGGGTGTGGCACTGTTCCTCTCTGGGTCTTACGCCCTGGTTCTAACTCGAGATTGCCGCCTCCGTCCTGCCTGAATCGTATAAATGTCTTAGGAACGAGCATTTTCGCAATCTGCAAAGCGCCTGCAGCCTCGGTCTTGCTGCTCATGAATGACTACCATCCCTTCCATTCACGCAGCACTGGTAGCTGTGTGCCAGAACCCGGCCTGACTGCTGGGCGCGCACAATAATTACACGTGCTATTAATTACGCCCTTACGCTGTTGCACGCCATGAGTTAAGAGCTCTACGCCATCACTGCGTTTAATTTTACACCCATTTATCATCACCCCTGTGCAAAGGATTGCTATTCAACAACTCAAGGACACTCCATTTTAGGGTGATCCAGAATTTAGAAAATTCAATATCTAACCCAGAGCCTCAACCATCTCTGGTCACCTCTGGTCTTCAGGGTCTCAGACGTGTAACACTGCACGACCCTGGATGGGATCTGGTGGTACTGGGACTTTTCTACCACCATGCCTTTGCCCGGGGTTGTCCTGATGCCAGCAATGCCTTTTCCTTCTTGTACCCGAGTGAATAAAAGAACTTGTGTGCAAAGAAGAAATGGCGAATAAGCACCACCAATTCCCAGCCTCGTAGCCTTTGGCTCTGAACATGGCATACATGCCTTCCTCCAGAAGCCCCTAGGCTAAGGGTACACAAGCCCATCAGCAGTTAGAGAGTAAGGCCCCTGAGGTTCCAACTCCCTGGCTGGCCTAAGGGAAGGCACAAGCTTACGATGCCGCTGTGTGACTTAGGCAAATCACCTAACCTTTCTGGGCCTCATGGCCCTCAGTTGCTGCGGCAATGATCATTTCTATTTCAAAAGACCGTTGGTGGTAGCACACCTTTAATCCCAATACCTGGGAGGGAGAGGCAGGTAGATCTCTGAGTTCGAGGTCAGCCTGGTTTACAGAAAGAGTTCCAGAACAGCCAGGGCAACACAGAGAAACCCTGTCTAGAAAAGACGAACGGGGAGGCTTAAGGAAGATAATATAGTCATGTGTATTCATGTCAGGCATGGTGACGCAGGCCTGTGAGCCTGATGTGGGAGCCCCAGCTCTTTGCCAAGGGAATCTTAAATACAAAGGAGTAAGGAGACCTAGCTTGCTCCATGTGCTGTGCAGAATACAGTACACTTCTTTTCCTTTTTGAACAACTACAAAATGCCGGTGAAGGCCGAATACTTGATAAGTTGGCTTCTTCCTGCCTCTCTCTGCCATACTCCACCCACCATATAACACTCCCCCCGCCCCATACAGAAACCTAATATAGACCCAGGAAGCAGACCCCTAGGGCAGAAGGCCAGGCTTGACGTTTGTGGTTAGGTTGCCTCACCTAGCCTGAGGGCCACAGGTGAGTGTCCTAAGCCATGTCCCTTCCTGCTGCCCTGGCCCATACCAGCCCCAACCCACAGAGAGGGAATATGCAGTGCTTGTCTCTCAGATGGCTTCCTGGTCTAAGCAGACCCAAATCAGCCTGTCAAGCCTCCCGTGTGGACCCTCCTCTCCTCAGCACAGCGTAGCAGCTCTCCCACAGCCCAGGGCTCCAGCTTTCCCAGCTTGGCCAGCACAGCTTGCCGGTCTCCTTGAAAGCTGTCAGTGCCTGGGTGGGTATGAACCATTCCTCCATTCTTCCTGGTCACGTGCTGTTTCCTCCCCTTTCCCTGGGCTGTTTTCTATGGTTAAAGTGGAATACAGCCCAGAGGCATGTATTCCATGCAAGCAGCATGTCTGTCTTCTGTCCTGCTCACCAAAAAGTAGGTGCTAGCCAGGAAGAAGCAGGGGAGGGAGGGAGAGGCGGGAGGGGCCCTTCCTGCTGAGCAGGGACTGGAGCTGCCCTCGGGCCCAGCACCCAGTGCTGGCTCACGGGCTGAGGGGAAGAATCCCAGGGACTCTGCTTCCTAGGCCTCCCACCCCCATTTCCCTCTGAAGTCCCCAGGCCTCTGCCTCTCCTGCTCAGTCTAGGAGGGTACCTCCCATAGGGCTATCTCAGCAGGATACTTGAAGCTCTTGCCAGGTATCTGGAAGTGAGGCAGGCAGAGTGCAGCCAAACCCCTGCCAGGGACAGAGGGACACGGCCACCTATGGGACCCTCTGGAGCAGTTGGCACAGCAATAGACCTACTGCCCACCCACCCCCACCCCCCAAGTACTGCAAAGGGCTTCCCAGGCATCCGCTGATTAGCGTAATGACCTGAGTAAGTGAACCCTCTTGGGGAGGCAATCAGGACTAAGGCAGAGGCGGGGGGCCACCGTGGACAGCTCACCAGCTGGCCTGCTCCACAATACCCCTAATTGGAAACACTTCAGTTTATCTGGGAGTGGGGATGTGGGGGAGAGGATGCGGGAGAGGACAGGAGGGAACAGAGAGTTCACTGGGGAGTCTATGCCACGGGTTGGGAGGGACTTCACTCATTCAGGAATTGGGGGTTCTCCTGGTTCAAGGTTTGTCTGGGCTACTCATTCACTGGGTCACCACCAGTGACCAGCCTCAGTTTCCCAGTTTTATTGTAGTCAGTGCTCATAGTTCTGTGGGTGAGGGCATTTTCCAGTGATACAGCTGGGAAGTTGCCTTCCAAACTCCTCACCAAGCCATAGACTTCCACCACCCCCTATCCACTGATCCTGTCTCCACAGTTTTGGTCCTCCTACCATAAGGCCCTGAGGGGTCATTGCGGCTCCCTCCTCACACCATAGGGCTTCTTCCTGGCTAGACAATCGCTGAGGGGTCTTCCTCAGGTTTTCAGCAGCGCTGTGTCCAGGCAGTTCTGTGGTATGTGGCCCAGGTAAGGTCACCCTCCAGAAAAGCCTTCCTTATGACCCTGCCCTTTACTACCTTGGGCGCCCTGTGCCAAGGTCTCTTGTTTGTCATTCTGCAGTCTGGGTCTCACAATGCTAAGTGAAACCAAACTATTTGTTTAGGTTTATCTTGGGCAGAGCTGGACTCCAAAGAGCACAGAAGCACACCCAGAGTTGGCCTGGCAATGGGTTGAACCCAACATCAAAGATAAAATTAGGAGATTTTACAACATCACTCATAAAATTAGGAGATCCTGATCATGGAAATGGCCTGCCTCAGGTCCTGCCTCCCAGGGAAGGTGATCCTTTGGTTATTATTTCTGTGGATCCTGCTTACCCGAGGAAGGTGGAAAAGCCAATTCCCTAAACCTATTTACCCCATCTATTTACTCACCACAGCTGCCTTGGACCACATCTCAGGCTATTTCCCATGAAATAGGAAAAATGGAGCCTGTCTAGGCCAACCAGGCAAGGCCAGCCCTTTTCTGGGCTTCTGCCCCATGGGATGGCCTTGGGGAGCTTTTCCCTTGGTGACAGGATGGAACTCCTCAGTGACGTCCTAGGTCTAAACACCAGAGCTCTTCGGGACACCTGGCTAGGTTAGGGTTAAAGCTACCAGCCCCAAGGAGAAGCTCCAGGGAACAGGGGGCCCAGCTTCTTCCCAGGAACTTATTTCAGATTCTAAGACCCACAGTGAACACGGCCCGCTCCTTCTCTGCACTGCGCAGATGAGACAGCTGCCCTGGATGTAAGGGCTGGAAGTCTATAAGCTTAGATCCAATCCTGCCTGGCAGGCGCTGCCTAGACTTCAGAGGCCCCTGCCTGGCTCCGTGTTTGCAGGATGTCCTTAAAGAGATCCCTAACTGCTTGCCTTAGTCAGACACTTATTAGCCACGAGTAGAAAAGCGAGTCCATGTACCGTCAACACCACCGCAGGGAGAGCAGGACTTGCCCACTTCTGTGTGCAGCCAATTAGAGGCAGAGCCCAGCTAGATGCTAGACCTCCCAGACCCCAGGCCAGGGTTCCTTCCAGCCATGCCAGAGCTCAGAAGCTGAGGTGCAGAGAAGCTGAAGGCTTGCCCAAGGTCTGCCTGGCAGGAGGTGACCACTCAAGCTAAACAGGGATTCCTAGGCTGGCACTCTTTCTGCCCCACTTCACAGCAGCTGCGTTCCTTCTAGAGCCTCTTAAGACTCTTCCTAGAGAGGCCCCGCCCTTGCTGAGTGGCAGGCTTGGTGCTGCCAGCTGCTCTGAGAGGACAGCCTCTAAGGGCCCCCTCGCTGGCCAGGGGGTTCTTTTCTCCCCCACTCCTCCACCAGAGGGGGGCAAGAGGCTCACATCTGCCCCCCCCCCCCCCCCACTTGACCCGTCATGATTTCCCCCACCTCCGGCTTTGGAGCTAATACTCAAGTCTCTCGGTGTATCTCTAGGCAGTCTGCACCCCATGCCACCTGTTTGGGTTGTCTGTCCCAGAAGCCCACTAGGTGGGCACCTCAGGCCACTAAGCCACATCTGGTTTCAGTTCTTGGGTCAAATGTCCCTTTCATCTCCAGGTCACTTTCCAAGCCCAAGCACATGGTCCCTGGGACTGCCCCAGGACAGCTGGCCCTGATGAGTCCCCACCCCCCACTGCACAACTGTCCCCGGGACTTCCTTCTACCAACAGCCCAACTCACACTCCTGGCCTACTCCTCATTGGCTAGGAAACTCTGTTGAAGATCCTCCAAGGTCTTCCTTTCCTCTGCTGTGCAGAGGGGCTCAGGAGCAGAGCACACAGCACAGGTTGGGAGCCACATGTATTTGGAGAACAGCACTCAGCACACAGCAACGCTGCATCTGTGTGAACCCATGCCCATTGCCACCCCCACTATTCCTGCCATGGGCAGCGGGTTGAACCCAGGGCCTCAAACATGCTAGACCGTGTTTCCAACCCCTGTCACATTGTTGTTTTAATTTTTAGAGTGAGCATCACTAAACTGCTCAGGCTGGCTTTGAACATGCCTGTAGCCCGGGTAGGCACTGAACTTGCGATCCCCCTGCCTCAGCCTCTCTGTCGCTGAGATTTCTGGCCTGGGCCACCAAGCATGGCTATACTGTTCTGAAGTGCCACATCCTCCTCTGTCTTCCAGCTCCAGCAATAGCTCAACCATTATCAAGGTCTCCTGAGCCCTCAGCTGGGGTTCTGATCTCAGAGCCACAGTGAACCAGCATGTGACCTCACGGCAGTTACTCATCCTCATCCTCTCTGTACCTTTACTTCCTTATTGTGATGAAACTGTCACCTATCACCAGGAATGTTAACAAATCAGATGGAGGCCTGCAGCTCTCAGGGCTGTAACGGGACACGGGGACACCTCCTGCCTGCGAGGCACTGTGGCCCCTGCTCCCTGCTAGAGCAGCAGGGGATGCTCCTGCCTCCATATTTTCTTTCATGCTCTTCCTCCTGCCTGGGACACCTGCTTCACATTCCATCTCTGCCCATCAAATCTTCCCTGGGGGATGGATTGGAGACAGACACTGAGCTGTGCCCATTTGTAGCTTGGCTTAGACTATGGGGTGGTGCTCAGCCACCTACCCATCACCCCGATCCCAGCACATGCCAGCTTAAGGCTGCATCCTAGAATCTCAGGAATCCCTTTGTAGGGCACGTAGAGAGGGACAAGAGCAGTGTCCCCGGGATTCTTCATGAGCAAAACAGGTCGCCCAAGCCATGGAAGCCCTGCACCTCTCTCAGCAAACCCCTTCCTCCTTTCCACCTCATCTCCTGGTCTGAAAACAGCAGCTGGCCCGAGGCAAGAATGCCTAACAGTAGCCTGAGGCGGCGGGAGAAGCCTGGCCCAGGAGAGACCACCTTTATTGGAAACCAGAAGCGGAAAAAGATGGGATTCCCTTCTTGGATTATTTAATCAATAACTCGGCAGCAGAAAGGGCTGAACCAGTGACCACCAGTCTTCCAGAGGTACAGTGTGCTACCATAATTTTCTCTTCCACTAAACCATGGACCCTCTTCAGTGCCCACAATCTATTCCTAGTTTTATCTGCAGGCTCCCTACCCACGACCCAAGGACAGACTTCCCCACCCTGGCCCTGGACTCTGAGAGTCTCCCTCATACCACCTACCTGCCGAACTCCCTACTTCTGTCGCTGAAAGGGATAAGCCCTGGAAAACCTTGGTAACCCACATGGGTGACTGAAGCAGGCTGCCCTCCTCCGAGCTGCCTCGGAGTCCCCACTCCTACAGGGCTTGGAAAGCTATTTACAGCCGGGGCTTATCTCTCCCGGCTCACGAAGGGACTGTGTTCCCCCTCATCCCTCTCCTTCCACACTGCCTACAGCAACCACCGCAGGAGGAACAGCACCGCGTGAGGAAACCAGGGGGAAATTGGCCCCAGCGACCAATTGTCCTTCCAGGACACCCTGCACGTGCTCACAGAGCCTCTGGCAGTTCAGGAGCGCTCTAGGGAGCCTCCTCTCTAACCCCGGTGAGCCAGTACTATCCTTCGGAAAGACCAAGTATTCCGAGGCCCCAGGAGTAGTGCTTCCCCCAAGGACGCCCAGGTGAAGGGGGTCCAAATTGTCTTCGCAGAACTTCAGGAGGCCGAAAGGCCAGGTTCCTGAGCTGCCCCTGGTATCCTGCCCTGAGCAGACCCACTCCGGGCTGTGCCCCTTGGGGACGACGTTTCCGCCGTCGCTCTCTGGCCCTCGAGCAACCCTGGCCTGGATAGGAAAACCCCGTCACCCACTTCGCAAGCCTGCGGAGGTTAAGAACAGCATTTCACAGAGCAGGTCGCCGAGATCAGAACGACTCGCCCACAACCCCCAAGCCAACTCGGCCTCGCAGATTTTGGTGCGCTCACCCAAGCGCTCCACACTGCTCGCCCCACGGCCCACCGGAGTGAAGACGGGGTCCTACTTACAGCCACTTGATGCCATAGCACACACCGGTGTGGAGCGCCAGGGCGAAGAGCAGAGCCTCGCAGACCTGCGGCCGCGCCCTCATCGTTGAGCGCGCCCGGCGCTCCCGGAGGTCGCCCCGAGCAGCAGCCGCGCCGAAGTCCGCCGCCTGCAGGCCGCCGCCGCCGCTCCTGCGCGCACGCCGCCTGCAGTCAAGGAGAGCGGGGCGGCGGGTTAGGGCGGCGCGCCGGCCGGCGGGGAGGCGTTTTATTCAAATTACAAAGGAGGGGTCCGAGGGAGGCCGGGGGAGGCCAGCGGCCGCTCTCTCCCTGCACCGCCCGAGACCCGCCGGCGTCAGGCGCGGATTAGGTGAGACCCGAGCGCGGCCCAGGGCGTGTCGCCCAGGACGGATCGGGGCTGGACCGCCCAGGAAGGACGGGATGCGGCCGATCGGAGGTGCTGGGGCAGACCCGGCAGAGGGCCTGGAGGGGACCGCAAGGCGCGGGCGGCCAGCGCAAGGACAAACTGACGAAGCGACCCCAGAGAGAGAGAGGAACGAGGGTCCCAGGCCGGGGCTGCTGAACAGGGAAGGGTTTGAAGCTCCTGTTCCAGTCCACGAAATGGATTATTAGTTATTGCAGCTCTAAAGAGCCTACGGTTCATCTCTCTGCGAACGGGGTGAGCAGCGCTCCCCTTTTACAGAGAGTAGTGTGGCCGCCTTTGCTTCCCCAGCCCTGGGATGGGCATTGTCCCCCTCTCCATCTCAGAGAGGAAACCGAGTCCCAGAAACGGGACACGGGCGGTTCAGATAGTGAGGGCCGGTTCTGGGCTGGGCTGTGGCGCTCTCTGGTCTACCTGTGCCCGGCGAGGTCAGGCCAGGGGGAAGGCAGAAGACGCCCCTTCCGGAAGCCATCTCAGTACGGGAAGGGAAAACTGCAAAACCGGGGTGGTGACAGACGCTCCTTTTACACACTGAGGGATCTGCGGAGCCTGAAGTGCTGCTGTAGACTTCCCGCTTCAGGGCCGTGGTCCGGACTAGGCACCCCCGGAGCTCCCTAGCGGAGCAGGGGAGCTCCAGGCACGCAACAGGTTGGTTCGGACCGCCAGGCGGCGAGCTAGGGCTGCGGAGAAGCCGCCACCCCGCCCGCCCTCAGCCTGCGGAGCTGCTCTCTGAGGCTTGCCCCTTCCCATCATTCTCACCTCATTAACTCCCTTCCCGGCTTCTCCCAAATTTACCAACACCTGGCGTTCGCCCCGAGTCATACACAGGCCCTCTCCCCTCTGGAGGAGCAGAGACAAAGGGATTCCTTCCTAAAGGGTCTACGGAGTCTGAAGAAGGAGGTGCCAGACTCGGGGGGCGGGGGGCGTCGTTGCGGAAAACCGCTCTCCTCTGGCTCGGTGAGCCTGGGCGTGCCCTTTACCACCCCAGCCTTAGTTTTTTCTTTTATTAAAACAAAGAACTGGACTGCAGCTTTCTGATATTAATCTGATCTCCGCTCTGTATCCACTATTACACATACCTGTGTGGCCTGGGAATATCTATGTGTTTCAAATGTGTACACGCTGGAACACCACACACACGCACGCGCGCGCGCGCGCGCGCACACACACACACACACACACACACACAAGGATTAGAAACTTCATAGTTTTCTGAGGTCTTCTAGCAGAACCTAGAGGAATCCAACTGCTTTCCCCCTCCCTCCACAGAGACCCCCAGGCCCGAAGTGCTTGGCAAGCTGGGGTGTCAGCGGGATTTTTGATGCAGTCTGAATCCTCCTCCCACCTCTGTATCTTGATCTTTCCCTTGCTATTGGAAGCTTACACAAGTCCCCCAAACCAGAAAAATATCTGCAGGATCTCCGCGGAGGGGCCCCTCAGAACTCTCTTTGTTCCCTCGTAAAGTGTGTGATCCCCGAAGGCCCCCAGAATTTCTCGGTGGGAGGGGAAGGGCAAGCCGCAGAGGGAAGCTCAAAGACTTACAGCGGGGTATCGGTGCCCAGCTCGCGCTCCCAGTGAGAGGAGGGGTGGCCCAAATCGCTCGGCAGTCGGGGACCCAGGCCTCCAGCTACTCCCTGCTCTTCTCAGCAGCTCCAGGGGCCCTAGACCTCTCTTTCCGCCACCACGGCGCGTTGCTGAGGGAGCGCCTCTGCTTCTAGGCCTCTAGGTCCCGATATCATTCTTATCCTACCTAAGAAGTGCCAGGACAGCCTTGTGAGCCGCTGGGTCACCCTCAGCTTGCGCCCTGAGGGTCAGAGCGCATTCGCCGCTGGGAGTCCCCGGTCCGCCAGGGGGCGCTAAGCCTGGGTTCAAAGAAAGATCTGCCCCGGCCTCACACAGTGGGACTTCGGGCAAGTCCCCTCCTTTTCCTGGGCTCTAATGTTCCCGTCTTGGATGAAGTACGGAATGACTTCCCTCTTGGCCTTGGCTATCCCACAAGACTTGTTTTCGTTAGCCCTGAACTAACTACGCAATCTCTTGCTTCAGACTGGGCGCCCAGCCTGCGCTGGGGACAGTCTCGTAGTGGGCCCGTGGAAAAGATAAGTGCTTATAGACACAGGAGAGCAAGCCTTTTTTCCCTTCTCCTTGGACAGTAAGTGCAAGCTATGAAGCTTGCAAACAGGCGGGGGAACGGGCCTCCCAGGGTTGTGCCAACTTACTATAACCCAGCCCTGGCCGCCAGCAGGTGGTCTTGAAGCTGGGAGCTGTGCAGAGCTCTAGAAACATCACTTTAGATAGCCTTTCCGCTCAGCCTGACCGGTAAGGACTGGCCGAGCCTCTCCCAACCCCGGTGCGCTACACCGGCCCCGGATTCCGTGCTGCGCGCCGGGACAATGTCCGCACCAGGGTAATGCCCAAGCGGGCCGCTCCGGGAGCCCGGCCGCGCCGCTCTCAAAACGAAAAGGGGGCGACAGGGACGCCGAGCGACAGCTTCAAGGTTACCTGCGAGGCTGCAGGAGACCTGGCTTTACGCTCAGCCGGAGAGTCGGTTAGGATCTTCCGTGTTGTGCCAGGTCGCCGCGGAGACGCGGTGTTTGAAAAGTGCAAAGGGAGAGAGTGCGGGACTCCCGCCACGGGGCGCAGGGACCCTGCGCTCCCAGGGACCGTGAGGGACGCCGAGGCATCTCGGTGCCACGGGAGGAAGGGATGGGGCTGGTGGAATTCAGCCAGATGTTCGGAGCCACTCCAGAGGAGCCGCGGGGCGAGGGCAGGGCTCCCTCCCCAGCCCCCAACCTGGAGCTCAGGTCGGTAAACAAACTCGCCCCCTCCCCAGCTGCCTGCAGGCGCCCTTCCCACCTCCGGGAGCTCCCCGCCTCCCGCTCGGGTAAGGAGCCGCGGGGTTCGCGGCCTTTTGTCCCCCTCTCCCGCCTCCTTACACACACCCTCGGTCGCGGGATCCAAATCCCCCCCCCCCACCCCCCCCCGGGGTCGCCCCCGCGTGACCTCATCAACCCGCAGCCTGCGAGGGAGGGGACCTAGTCCTGGGATGGGGAATAGGACGGAAGAGCTGGGGAAAGGGGGGAATGAAGGAACCACCCCACCCTGCAGCCCCCGAGTCCCCTAGTCCCCGGGGCCGTCCTGGCAGTTGCGCACCTCAAGAGAGAAGTGAGGAAAAAAAGAGCAACTCAGGCCACTTCGGTCTGCTTCCCCAGATGTGGGTTCCCAATAGGTCTCTTGGGCTCAGGCACCTTCTTTCCCATCCAAAGGGTCCCTGCTGAGCATCTGCCCGCGGCCACTGCTCACCTCTGGGGCACTCTGCCCGCGCGCCCTGCGTGCTCCGCAGCCCCGTCCGCCCCGGGAGCCGTGAGCGCGGTCCCCCGCCGGCGGCAGCGGCTTGGACGGCTTCCTGGGGGTGCGGGGGAGCGTGGCGCTCCGGGCGCGGAAGCGGACGGGTCTCGGCCGTGCTCGGCTCTCCGGCCTGCGCCCGCGGACTCTCGGAGCTCTCCCCCGGCCCGGCTCGGTCTGCGGCGCCGGCCGGCCCGAGCGCTTTATAAGGCGCGGGCCGCCGCTTTGATCCGCCCACGTCAGCGCGCCGAGTCCCCACCCTGTGGCTCGCGCGGGGCGGGGGCGGGTCCCCGTGACGCCTCGGACCCGCGGCGCCCGCCCGGCGCTCCCGGACACTTCGCGCTCCATGGCAGTACGAAAGGGAACTTGCTCGCCGCGGCTCGTGTTGAAAGCAGGTCTGGTGCGTGCCAGCGGCGCGCCAGGCGCAGGGAAGGGCCACCTCGGAAGCTAGTAACAACCAGCAAAGAGCCAGAACCAGCCAGAGGTTCTGACTTTGGTCACTAGGCGCTCTAGCTTACTTACTGACCGTGTTGAGGGTCTTGAGCCCCGCGCTTCTGTTGTCCTAGAAGGTTCCTGGGACCATCTTTCTAGGCATCTCAGAGGAACACTTGCTTTTCGAAGGTGCTAGGGCTCTGCTATGCAAAGCGCATTGTACACTGGTTCCAAGCCTGGTGTGTGTTGGACACCGGCTTGATTTCAGGGGAGTCTTCTGGGCAAGTCCTCCCAGCGGTCCTTAGGGCTGGGTCCTAGCAGAGGACCAGGTTTTCGGAAACTAAACTGCACTGGAGAGCGCTTCCCCTGAGGCGTCATGGGGTCTTGAATTGACTGCGGACTACTCCGACCCCTCCAACTGGCCTTCCTCGGCTAGACCTGAGACAGTCCCATTTCCCTCAGTTCCTAACTATCCATCAGGTGCTATGGTTCCACCGGTTTCTGTCTCCCTCCTTATAGGGGTTTCCACATCAGATTGTGCTCAGGGATTATTTAGCATATCAGTAGAAAAGGAAATAAAGGCGAGGAGAAGGGACTTGCCTAGTGTCTCCCAAGCCGGCTGCTACCTTCTTCCTATTCTTTGCAGATGAAGTGTTGTTCGAAGGCTTGCCCGGGTTACACACACACACACACACACACACACACACACACACACACACACGGGGGGGGGGAGTGGGACCCACAACCCACAATGGCCCTGGAGCCTCCTAGTCATACCAGCCCTCTTGCAACACTGGGCTAGAACATATTATCACAGTGGTTCCAAACACGCTATCAGGAGATCCCTGTACACATCACACGCCCGTATCCTCAGCAGCACATAGGTGTGGAGTCACATCCATGCCATTAGATTGGGACTCAGCACACAGACTGCCCCCAAACAGTCCATGTACAAACACACAGACAGTTCCCAAGCATGCAACACCAAACACACACATCCTACATTCACAAACAAGAACAGTCCACAAACACAGGAGCACAGCACTGGTCCATCGTCATCACCATTATCATTGTCATCAAGCAGCCCAGAGCACTAGAAAAACAATGAGATGGCGGGGGTGGGGGTAGGGGGTGGGCTTTGGGTGATGTTCTGGAGCTGGGGAAAGAGTAAGACTGTCCCTCACAGAAGGCTGGGGACAAAGGCCTCCAAGGCTGACATGCCCTTAGCTCTCCTGCCTGCTGCTGGACACCTAGGTCTCGGGCTCTAATTCACTGGGGACAAGACTCCCAGAAAGGTTGGGCAGGGCAGGGTGTCACAGTCTTGCTGCTGGGAGTACTTATGTCGCCCTTCTCAGTCACAGGGTGATTTTGCTTATCTGATCAGTCAAGTTGGCCTTGCAGAGAGTTTCCTGCTGCTCACACCTTTGCAGCCCCACCCTGCCTGTGCCTTACCCAGGGAGGCACCAGCTGTAGTTCTGCCTGTCATGCTGACCACTTCAACACACACACACACACACACACACACACACACACACACACAATGTGCCCTCTTTTCACTCTGCTTCCTTTCCTGAAAGCTAAGGCCTCAGTGAAGAGGGTGAGGTCCAGATGGCTGTTTCCAGGAGCCCCAGGTAGGGACCAGGAGAGCTGGTTACAGTGCTGAAGCCAGCAAATCCTTGCTTTCTGATAGGCACTGTTTGCTCTCGCTGAGCCCCATCTGCAGGTGAGGGCTGAGCTAGATAACCTCCAGGGGCCTATCTGGCTCTAGAACTTAAGTCCTAACTCTGGAGTAGAGCAATAGACAAGCCATGAATGGGAGGGAAGGAAGAAAGGAAGAAATGCAGAAAGAAATGGGTCCCCAAAGTCCCCTCGGCCTGCTGTTCACACTGTTCCTCTGCTTACCCACCTCGGGACTCAGAGGAAGTGGTTCAGCCACCGTGATCCTTACCTTCATCATTTGCTCAACAGAAAACAAAACAAAACAACAACAACAACAAAAACCAAACAGCAACTGGCTCCTTAATGTTTCTGGGAGATAATGGAATAGAGTGTGTCTGTGTGTCTGTGTGCCTACACATGTGTGTGACCCGCTGCATACAGAACCCAGACCCGACTGGTGCCACTGTCTCAGAGGCAGTCGTAGCTCTGACAGTGAGCCCACCAAGCTCCAAGCATGCAGAGAAGTTGTGCAAGAGGCCTGCAGACCTGGTTCTGCCCGCTGCCTGGGAGGGGCCTGTCCTCCTCCTCAGGGCCTCAGGGGAGGTGTTATTATCCTATAGCACCCTGGGATAGGGTGGGGAGAGGTTGCTTTCCTGGGTGCACATAACAAAACATCACCCGTCATGTCTGCTGAGGCGTCACTTCTGAAAAGCCGCTTTCAGCTCTCATTGTTGAATGGCCATGGTGGCTGCACAGGAGACAATGTTTGTGTTTCCCAGGACTATGTCAGCTCCAGGAGAGAAACTGGCCCCCAACTGGTGCACCTACAAGGAACTCAGGGCCGCTGCAGGAGACTTTAGCAGCCAGTGAGCTGAAGGAAGAGCTGCACCATGTTTCTGTTCATGGACCGCACCAGCTTCAGCGTTGCCCTTGCACCTCCCTTTGGGAATTGGTGTGACAGCCCCAGGTAGAAATTCCAGTCAGAGACCTTTCCTCTCCTGCTTCCATGTGTCAGCCCCAGAGAAGGGGCTGGATGACTGCTTGGGCCATGTGCCCTGTGAGTGACAGCTTGAGAGGATGCTGGAAAGGACCAGGAAGCGGGGAGCCATCAGGCATGTCTTTGGGTACAGTTTCCTCTGCCATCAAGCCTCTACTTTCCTATTTTGGATGAGAGCCAGTGTCTCAGGCCAGGCCTAGCCAAAGATACTGAGTGGAAGCGCAAGGCTAGAGGGCTAAGGACCTACGCCTGTGAAATCACAAGCCGACATGAATCCTCCCTGACACTGTTTTTCTCACTACCTATCAGAGGCATGAGAGCGCCAGCCACCACACACCACCTCAGGCGAAGTCTGCCCTGCCACCCTTGATCTGGGCCGCCCCGTTACTGTCTGAACAGTGTGACAAAAGAAAGCTGGAACTCGGGCCCTGGGTCTTAGAAGCTTCCCTCTCAGCTCTCCAGGACAGGGTTGTGGGGAAGGGATGGGGCAGAGTGGATGAGGTTGGGGGGGGAGGCACTGGGCTACATGAGACAAACACGCTAAGGTGAAAAGATGGGGCTGAAGATAGCCCAATGGGTAAGCGCAGAAATGGATAGGGAGCAGAAACCCCCATCACCCGTGTGAAAAGCTGGGCAGTGTGCTTCTTTAACTCAGCTCTTGGGCACTAAGGCAGGAGGATTGCTGAGGTTTGCTGCCTGCCAGCATAGGTCCAAATGAGAGACGCCATTCCCAGGGAATAAGGCAAACAATGACATACAGCGGCCTCTGTGTGCACATGCTGTACACACACACACACACACACACACACACACACACACACACACACACGAAAACAGCGAACAAGCTAAGATATGCAGTTATTATGTGCACACACACAAGAGAGTCAATATCCCTCAGCCAGCCCTGCTCACAAACCCCAGGGCTAGGCTCCCCCACCTTCTAGACAGTCTCTACTATTACAGGTGGCTCTGTCTGCAAGAGGACCTCCACCCTGTAGAGTCCAGAGCAAAACCCCCACAATTCTTGAAGCTCTCTTCCTAGGATCCCCTTTTCTGTGTGACAGTGACGTTGGGGCCTTTGCAAAGCAGCACGATTTTGCTAAGAGCAAGTATTTACATGAACTTAAGCCTCAGTCTCCACACAGCAAGCATGTCCACCAGGGCCTAAGCCCACGAGAGCTCTACCAGCTCTGATTAGAGCTTCAGCCATGCCAACTGTATCTGTACGGATCCCCCTTGTGCCCGCGTCTTGGGTCTCCACCTGAAATTTTACCACCTAGGGTTGCGGAGAGGTGGGGGGGGTGGGGTAGCAGTAGAGGAGATGATGGATGTGAGAGGCCAGGCTGTAACAGCTCCCTGATAAAGGCTAGTTCCTCTTCTGCCAGGTACATAAACCATTCCAGATGGGAAGCTTGCCGGCTTATGTGTAGGTGGGAGAGGAACTGTCAGCAGGCTGGTGGGGGAGGGGCACAGACAAGATGGGGAAGCGTGGTGTCAGGGAAAGGGTGAATCCATAGCTCAAGCTGCCAATCTGAAGAGGAGTGGGCGGCCTCACATGCCAGGCTCAGGGTCTGTGCTAGCAACAGGAGACAGGGAGGTCTCCAGACAGAGGGGCAAGGTCAGGTTCAGCTTTCCTCTGGTCTGTGAGTCCTGTTCCTGGGGAGAGAATGGAACATTTGAGCCTTTAGGCTAGGAAGAAGCAGAGAAGCGACCAGAGAGTGGCTTAACCTTACCTGTGTGGTGGGGAACCAGAGGCTCCTCTCACGGTCTTGCACGCCCATTTTCTCAGCTATGTTGGACTTGGCATTGAGCTCACAGTTTCTAAGCTCTGCCATAGTTACAGGCCCCTGTGAGCCTTGAGGCTGGGCTGAGAGGAATGAAGGCTGGGTAGACATGATTAAGCCCTATTCTTAAGATGGGGGATACAGGCCCAGACAGGGGAAGTGAGGTGACCAAATCTTGCAGCAGATGTGTGCCCTAGTTGGGCTAGAATCTAGGCCTCTTGCCTCCCACTCCTACCATACTCTCTGTCCCTAGAACTGAAGAAT